GCTGTATTATATCTCTCATTGGTTTGTGGTAAAAGCCCACCATATAAGCTGATCTATGATGTAAAAACGGTAAAACATTGCTTTGAAAGTATGGTTGCTGTATTATATCTCTCATTGGTTTGTGGTCTATAAATTTTATCAATATCATATGTGAAACTGAAACAGGTTCTTTATTGTATCACATTGACATCGAAAATGAACACGTAGTTACTAAGTATTCTTGATAATAGAATATACAAGTTTTTGAAACAAGTACAGTTTATTTATCTATCGATAAAAACAAAAATATATCCAAATGTCTTTATTCTACTGACAAATATTAAGAAAAGGCAAAAATTATAAACATTTAACATTTTAATAAGCTTTTTTCAAGGAAGTTTAAAAACTTGTCAAACAATGACAATAAGGTATGTTAGGTTAATCAACTGTTTATAGTTTGAAGATATGTTTAACAATTATTCACGTATCAGTGTATCCATAGTCTTGGAGGTTAATAATGTGCCAGCTAATGTTAGGTTAGTAGCCTTGTAAGGTAAGAATGCACGAGCTAATATTAGGTCATTAGTCACAGTTTAAAAAAAAAACTATTTTAATACTAGAAACTAATATTTCATCCAAAAGTTATTTTGTAGCAATACCAACAACGTGAGGCCTTAAAATAAAAAGAACATCAGAATTATAGGAAATACGATGAGATAAGTGAGAGAATCCAATATTATCTATATCTTGAGAGATGTTTCTGGTCAGCTGACATCCAAACAAGTAAACTTCCCATACTGGCTGGACCAACTGCTGTACTCTGAACTTCCAAGAATCTAATGGATATCCAACATGCTCCAAGAAGTAGAACTTTCCTCCCTGAGTTGAAAAAATTAAAGATTGCATTTACTTATTTCAAGAGGTTCTTGGAAACATAACACAATTATTACTTAATACAAAATCACCAATTTTCAAGTAAGGCTTCATGTTTAGGAGAAAACAATTTTATTATTCTAGGTTGGTTAATGACTTTCTTTACATCTGACCTTGCACGTTTGTTTATGTTAAGTGCAAAGCTACACAATGGGCTAGTTGTGTTGTGCCCACAACAGGTATCAAACCCTAGTTTTCAGTGTTATAAGCCCCCAAGTTTATCAATGAGGCACTTTGACATACAAGTGTTCGATATATGAAAAAACTAGAGGTTTAAGGATCTAGTATGTGGAAGGTCAAGCATGGTTGTTTGTTGTAGGTGAAGTGAAAGGGACAAGACATGGTGTTGAAGTGTGGGTAAAAAGAAGAAATGGAAGAGTAACTGATCGGGATAATGAACAATTCTGGGTCAAGCTTAGGGCATACCCCCCCCCCCAAACAAAAACACTAAGGTTGTCTCTGGAGCTACGGGCATATGACTGCTATCTGCCACTTAAAGCGAGCCCCTTATTACTCCCTGGCCGAACTAAGTTACACCTCCCACCCATCCCCTCATTACAATCACTAGGGGTGGTAATTGCTGTATCGTTAAAATAGAAAAATTAAAGGAAATAAACATTAGTTTACACGATCAACAGGTAAAACAGTGTATACATAAACAAGGATCAGACTCCACCAGCGAGTCTTCGTGCTTTTGAAATCAGAAATGAAATATCTATTTAAAATGACATTCAAAATGCACATTCTCTCTGTAGCTAACCAATCAAAACACAAGAAGTGGAATGTGGAAATACCTTTGATCCACGTGAGAGCCACGAGATAGATTGTTTGGTTTCTTTTTTAATCTCGCGCAAAGCTACACGAGGACTATCTTCGCTATGCATCCCTAATTTAGCATTGAGATACTAGAGGGAAGGCAGCTAGTCAACACCATCTATCGCCATCTTTTTGGCCACTCTTTTACAATAGAATAATGGGCTTGACTATCACATTATAATCCCCAAAGGCTGAAAGGGAAACATGTTCGATGACAGGGATTCGAAACCGCAACCTTCAGTCAACACCATTCACCGCCAACTCTTGGGTTACTCTTTTACTAACAAATAGTAGGCTTGACCATCACATTATAATACCCCCACGGCTGAAAGGGTGAGCATGTTCGATAACGGGAATTCGAAACCGCGACCTCCAGATTGTGAATCGAGTGCCTTAACCACCAGGCTGTGCTATCTTTATAAAGTAGAATACAATGTAACTATAAGAAATAGGAGATGTGTTCCTTGACTGGACAGTCCATAGAAAATGCAAAGCAAATCTAGAATGATAAAATGATAATTTCTAAACCCTAGAGGTACTGATGAGGTAATACCTGTTTCTCAAACACGTTTTATAAATAGTTTAGATATATAAAAATAATGGTATCAAAATAGACCTGTTTCACTTTTAACCCCTGACGTTACATCCGATTGACTCCTTGACATCACATCTGGTTGACCCCTGACAACACATCTAGTTGATGTGGCCAGACTGTTCAACTGGTAACCTCGATAGTCCATGTGGCCAGGGTGTTTAACTGGTAACCTCGATAGTCCATGTGGCCAGGGTGTTTAACTGGTAACCTCGATAGTCCATGTGGCCAGGGTGTTTAACTGGTAACCTCGATAGTCCATGTGGCCAGGGTGTTTAACTGGTAATCTCGATAGTCCAGAACCAGTAGCCATCTTGAATGTGGTCCACTATGTCTCAGAATTTGTAAATCTAATAACTTTGATGGATGTTGTCAACTACGACGGAGTTCTGGTCGACCAATCAAAATTTACCAGCTGTATATAAACAGTTCTTTTAAGTGATCCAACTAGTTCACACTGGTTTTATCTACCAACATTTACCTCAAAAGCTTTACTCTTGAGTCAGATAGTTTCAATGTTCGTCTTTGGTTTGAATCCTAAGACATATCAGATTGTTTATCATATTTGTGGACAAAGGTATGTATCCCTGCCTAGGTAAAATAACCAAAAGAAACCAGTTAATATTTACATTTTTCTGATAGTTTTGTATTAGAAATTACTCGTGTATTCATTACAACTAAAACATCCAGAATTCAAGCATGGCACTTACAGCAACCATATCATTGACATTCTCGGTTTTCAGATCTGTAAAAACTTCCCAGAGACTGTTTATGAATTTTGATAATCAGACATTGAGGGCTTCTCTCCCATATTTCTAGGAGTTTCTGATGACATCTTTAACTATTTTAGGCCCCTTTCACCCAAATGATTACATACCAGTAGCCCTACAAAACGACCACCTTCATTATATTAATGGGTACTGATTTGTTTGCCCAAAACACCACTATTGTTCCAGAATTCAAGGAAATGGTTAGAATCAAGTTTCTTCAATCTCAGAAAATTGGTCTCATACTTATACAGTGTTATGAAACTCATACCAAGTAAATCCATCGTTGGTAATGTTTGGCTTGATAAAATAGGACATCGTATATCTCTTCTAGTGATGTGAAAATTGGCCCTTGTTATAATGATGGGCTGCATACACACACACCATAACTGGATAGGAATTTAAAGGATGTTGCTTCCATGGTTGCATCAAGAGTTTTAAGGACAAACTGTTGGTCGAAAAAATTAATGATTACTCCATGAAATACATGTATATACAGATCATAGAAAACGCTTACCTATAGCAGTGGGGTTGCGAGTCATAAACATTTGTGAGTGCGATGCTGAATGACAGCAATGCGTACTTTAAAGCATGTACCAACTGTGAAGCTATATTAGGAAGTACAAGACGACAAAAAATTATTTATTATGACTATACATCACTTTATTGCTATTGCTGTAAAAACAAATCACCCAACATAATTTACAAGATATACTGTACATTTCGACCTCCTTATTTCAACTATCGCCAAGCTTCACCATAGCATTCCCAGGAATGAACTTTTTATTTGGTCTCTATCAGACTCGATTCCAAGGTACATGCATTTATGATGATGATACACATCCAGTGACCAGTACGTGGACCACTCTAGAGTTACTCGATACAGGATACAGAATACTAGACATGTACAAAGTCTGGCACTACTCGTTTACATCTAAATGGCTTTTAGAAAGTTATGCAAACTGTTTTTTAAAACTTAAGCGGGAAGCATCTGCTCGCCTGTTTTGGTATAAACGGATGGCCACCAATAGATGTCATTAAAACAGTACAAAGATCACAAAGGAATGTTACGTTTGTTTGTTGAATTTTGTGCAAAAGATACTCAAGAGCTATCTGTGCTAGCCTCAGTGATCTTTTCCACTAGCAGGTCAGGTGATGCCCCAGGGATACAATATCCCTTGTTTTGAAGTGAGAGCAATGTTATTAGAATATAATGCCATGTTTGCTCAGTAAGGAACAACTGCCACATTTCACACTTATCCTTAACATTGTTGTTTGATTGTGCAGTGAAATAAGGGCTGTTTTACAGTGTACGACTTGTTTCTAGTCTTTTACTTTCTACCAAGCTCAGTCGATATCAGAAAATGTCAGATTTCAGCTCTGCAATACAGTTTCCGGCGAGCCTCTAGTTAACCTACCCAATTACTCAACAGGAAGTCAGTGAATAGCACACATAGATTTTTCTGGAACCTTCGTAATAATGTGATCGTTATTAATACTTTACAGAACGGGCTTCATAAGTTGTTGTTTTCGTCGTGCAATGTTACACAATGGGATATCTGCACTCTGTCCACCGTGGATAATTGAACCACGGATTTTTGCACTGCAATTCCGTAAACTTACAGCTGACCCACCGGGGGGACGTGTTTCATACGAGAAGAGGGTCACATACCATTAGTTTGGATACCCATTAAATGATAATAACAAAACAAAAAAAAACAGAGTTCCAAATTATGCACTTGGCAAGACTAATATATCCTCGACCTCAGTTTCTTCATAAGGTCTATGATGATGACACTAAGCAAGTATGTGGATATTTGTTATTAGACCTCAAAGTTCTCAAAATTTAAGATTTCGAACATATGCTTCCATGAGGACGATTTTCTGTGTTCTGAAATTGCAAGAAAACATAGATTCAAATATACGAGTTTTTGTTATTCTTGTATAACCTTTAGTGAAAGCCTCTTAACTTTAGTGACGCTGTTTTCCAAGTTACTTTATCAAACTATCCAACGTCATCTGTTTGAAGAACCTTGAGGCAGTGTTTACGTTTGATAAAAAAAAAATAACGTGTTTAAGTTAAAAACGAAAAGACTTAAAGTGATAATATTTAATAGAAAGTACGTCATGAAACTATGTAAATTTGATGAGACCTGATAAAAGAATAAACAAAACGAACCTTTCAGCAGGATGCACATGACCGATAGTTATACGTTTCATGTGTACAACACGTAGATATCAACATGATCTTAAATTATATGAAAATTCCCAAACAATCGCAACTTTGGCACGATTCAAGTCAACAAGTCACTAACTGATTTGCGCACTAAATGTATTTAATTCATTACAAGGGAATATTTCCCTCTGGGTTAAGGAAATACAAGCAAGATTCGAGAATAAGCTGAGAAAAAAATAGGTGAGTTTGAAACTTGTACAGGAGGGTGTTTTTCTATTTTCCCCGAAAGGGGGCTGAAGGCCGCCTGGTGGGGTCTGTTTTAACCAGTCACACCACTATACAGTAGTGTGTTGTCTGACAGTCGGTCGACAGTAGACATTAACGTTGCAATTTGTACTGTCGTGACATCGGTAAAACGTGCGTGTGCCATAAATCATGAGAAGAATTATGCACTCTGTATGCTACAATACAGAAATACATGAACTTCAAAAACAAGAAATTAAATATTTGTTACTCTTCACTTTAACATTATTTACTCTTGAAACAGAACATGCCCACAGTGGCACAGCGGTATGTCTGCGGACTTACAACGCTA